ATACTCTCTGCGCAGAGCCGCCTTACGCAAAGAGGCCTTATTACAACCGGGGGGCGGTAGTTACCGGGCGGAAGTTACCCATATTTTATGGGGGGTGTGCACCCTCCTCGCCGCAGCCAAAGCTTGGGGCTAGGGATTTTTTAAAGAGGTTGTCATCCTCGTGGTCCAGCCAGTTAAGGTAAGACCCCCGTTCCTGCGAGACACAGGTTTACGGTATACAAGGAGCTAAGATGACCCTGGGATCGCTACTTCCCAAACTACAAGTGTTTTCAGGCAACTTGCAGCTCCTGGGGCGCCGTTCCTCCGTTCGCAAGAGGGACTCCATTGATATATACCTCTACAGACGACCAAGGTAATCTATTAGAAAGTGTAAGGAATCTCTCTCCCCAGACACCACCGCGAGGAGGTGGAGGATCCGACTTGCGGCACTTCGAGTGTTCCAACGAACAATGGAAGCTATGTGTAACAAACGAAGATCGAGCTCGCGTTTTATAGGAAGCACACGATGACCCTAAAGCAGGACATCTGGGGAATGCCAAAACCCTAGCCCGGCTAGCACGAGTCTATTACTGGCTAGGAATGCTGCGAGATGTCCGGGGGTGTTGCAGCTGCCAGCAGTTCAAGGCTCAACAGCAGACTCTCATTGTTGCCCTTCCACCTATGCCTGTTATATACACTAGTCAAAAAAATTAAGGGAACAGAAAAATTCCTTAAATTTTTAGGTCATTTTCAAATTGCTCTGCCTCCGTTGAAATTCATCCCAGAAGACATCCAGAATAGTCATTTTGAAGCTTCAGGTTTCTAGTTTCTGACCCTTTATCTCAAAAATTTTTTGAGCCTATTATCATTAACAAAACATACAAAAAATCGCGATGAAAAAATTTTAGAATTTTTTTTCTTTTTTTTAAGGTTTGTACAGACATAGAAAAATTTTTTTGATTAATGCCACTTCTAGACTGCTGTTCCCTATTCCATCCCCTATAATTTGCACGTCTATGAAGTTTGTTTCGACGATCGGTCGCAATCGACGCCCCATCACGTCCCCAAACGTGTTCAATTGGATTGAGATCTGGGCTGATTGCTGGATGTGGTAGCGTATTAATTCGATGTTGCGATAGGAACCGTTTTGTAACGTTCGCTGTATTTGGTCGAGCATTGTCTTGGACTAATCTAAATCGGGTTCAAGTGTATTGACGAATAGGTAAGACATGCGGACTTAAAATTTCATTGATATACCGGTTTGCTATCCAAACGGTATATGTTTGAGATAATCTATTAGCTTCTTTTGAAAAATATGAACGGCAGCTGCATTATGTTCTAAACTTTCAGAAATTATCGCGAAGTTGTGGCTATTATCTTTCGTGTATATAACAAACGGATGGAGAGTAACTCGTTTATTATTCCAGTGGTAATTTTGTATTTTGTCCTGAATGACGAAACTATAATTTTCGGAGAAATCATCTATGATAAGAAATTCTCCATGATTTAACGATTCTTTTGTTTTTTCTAAATATAGACTCTGTGCTTTAGCAATATAGTCGTGTGTCTACAAAATTGGAATTTTTTCTGCAAGATGATGTATGAAGTCATCAGCAGAACATGTAAGGATGTCCAAGGAAAATCTGTCGGTGTTGATCCAACTTTTAAAAGTTATTTCAGTAATAAAATTATCATCAAAAAAATTTTCAAATTCGGAACGGATATTATTAAACCCGAGACAAGAATTACATTTCCGTAAATGGCACGATGGAGTCGGTAACTCAAACATTATAGATTTTAAAATCAACTTATAATCGGTTACAACAATGTTTGAATTTATGGACCGTGCAGCTACTGCCATTAATTTTACATTTTGATGTATTACGCACACACAAACAGAATGTGTTCCACTGGCACCAGCTAAAACACAATCGTTTGGTCGCAAATTTGCAAATGAACTAAATCCTACTTCATATGTCGAATATTTCTCCTTAAAAAATGTATAAATTTCTCTGAGATTACCTAATACTAATCTTTTTTATAAACGTTCCCTACGTCCGTTTTGTTTTACTGAAATAACATCTTTTCTTTCCAGCATGACTCTACTTACATCATTACTACGATAGAAATTTTCTACTAATGACTTCACATTTTCTGATAATGAACGACCATGCTTTGGATTTGGAGTCACCATTATTCCTTGACTGACTTGCAATTGGTTTGCTTGTCTTGCCATGTGATAAGATATTTTAAATTCAAAAGAAATTCTACGTATACTCCACGATTTAGGTAAGGTTGTCAAAATGCGAATTTTTTCACTATCACTAGATTCTGAATTAAATTTAATATTTAACTGTTCAATTATTTCTGCATTATCTGCGACATCAGAGGAGTTACTTTCACTTATTAAATGCGGCTTTAATCTATTAGAAATACGATCTATCTTGTCTGAAATGCGTCTACTTGATTTTAAAGTCTTATATGTAACAGGAGAATCACCTAATGAGGATGTTAAAATATTTGTGGAACTTACAAGAACTGCCGGTTCTATCGGCATGGAAACATTCGAACTGTTACTAGTATTGCAAATTTCTCCGTGCGATAATCCGGATAGCCCCGGTTCAGCTAGCGAAATTTCCATTTGTGTTCTTTTCCTTTGTTTATGTATTTTACAGCAGCAAGTATTATAAATTAGCCCTTCCCTGGGAAGAGCTGGAAATGCTTGCCATATCCCTACCGTAATGTTTCGAAGCCCTTTAGCGAAGCGTTGATGCCCTGTTCGTTTAAATGGATTGCAATACATTTCATGCACCATTTTAAACAATTCACGCATTCTTTAGGTCTCAAAACCGTACGGTACGAAAATGCCACGGTAACTAAACATTTGGAATAAAGATATCTGAATATATAGGAAATCCCAGCATACCTCTTATTTATTGTTCAGATTGTATCGAGTCGGCAGAAGAAGGAAAGTGATAAAAAAATAAAAGACACCTAAAACGAATATCTATTCTCAATGGCATTAGAAATTAAAAAATGTTTGACATACTTCTTAGCATCCGACAACTTTTGCAAGCTTATTTCTTCAAAACCCATAACAAAATAAAAAGAATATACTCATATTACTTTAGGGTCAAATCTAACATAACTAAAAATGTGTCATTGGTCAAGAGTGGTAACTAATATACTTTTCAAGGTATGAACAGAGTTATTAGGTCATATATGAGGTCTTCCCGTATTGCTTTGGGATCAGTGATGGAAGATAACCGGTCATAATAGCGGAGCGCGCGACTCGCCTACCTGAAACAGGGGTACACCGCGTCCTTTTCCAGCTTGTAGGGACGTCAATTTTCGAGGCTCCATCGTTATGAAGGGCTCGTCTTAGAGGGGAAGCTTCAAAGAATATGACCATATTTTTTTTTAATTTTCACTCTTTACGCCCCTCATTGAGAAAAACGCAAAAAAAGAAGTTGTTTAAATTTTCCGACATTTTATAACAAATTGACAAAGTTAAAAAAAATATTTTGAAATAACCCAATCCTTCATGAATGAAACAAACAAAAAATTTAGCTAATTCGGTTGAGTAGTTTGTGAGAAAAAAATTCCTAAGTGGACCCCATTTTCGGCAAAATGTGCAAAAATTGCAAACTTTGAAGGCTTGTCATTCCTTAACAAATTCGAAACCGGCAAAATGATGACTTAAACCCCCTCTAATTTCACATGGACTACAACATATTTCGATTAGAGCAAAATCGGAGATGGTGACTTCCAAAAGTGGTCGATTCGGTGTGGAATGATCCTACTGTATTCATTAATTTTACATTGCAATCGGTTATATTCCGAAACGTAAGAAATTACTTCAACGGAAGGATTAGCGAAAAGGTTAGGTGCCCTGCCTTGTGTCGAGTCCCGCTGGACTTGATTTTTTTTTATCTTTTGTAATAATATTAATATACAATTCAAAAGGTTTTCCAAAAAAACTGTCAAGTAATACTTCATGGGATATTGAGAGGTAATAATATTTAAAATGAAGCTGAAACACAGTAACTTTGAAGAGAATTAAATAAATTTATTATTTAAAAAAAAACGATTTGGATGGATCTCTTTAAAATATTTTAATTAAACCTGATTTATGAATATCTTAATAACGCTGTTCCGTATCTAGGCAAGTAGGAGAGGGCGATCCCTGAATTCAAATCCCAACCGTGAAGTTTTCTGTCTCTCGTCCTCCTGAACGCACCAGAAGCTCTCTTTCGGTGCGTTCTCGAAAGTTCGAAAGACACCGAGGACCCCCCTGTAACCGATATAAAATTTATTGGTTCCCGTTGTCGTCATGTCTAATAAGCAACAGCTGATTGGGCCGTGATGACACTTACCGCGGATTCCCGAATTCATGTGATCGCCCGACTCTCGCAAATGGGAACAAATGCTACCGCTGTCGAAGTAAGACGTTATAATCCCGAATAGTAAATACGCGGTGCGCTACAGCGAACATTCCGTTTCAATTATACTTTTCTAATTTTTTTTCGTATCGTCGTCGTCCAAGTGTGAGTGTAGTGTGTTAATTTCGTTTTGTGTATTTTGTGAATAAATAGTGTACAAATTATTCGAACGGGTTATTCAAACCCCCCTGTGTTCTCGAGTCCCTTTCACCGATTACCGAACAAACGCAATATATTTTTATATATGTGAACAATTTTTAACCAGAAGAACAATAGATTTTATTTTTTTGTAACACACGAGAGTCTGATCGAAATTGAGCGGTATCTCAGAAGTAATTGATCGACGCAGGAATTCGATTACCGACTTTTCAATACAGACATTTATTTTTGCTAATTTAATTAAATTGAAAATTCAACGAAACTTGTCTACGTCTACGTAATTAAAAATAAAAAAGTTAGCAACGCATTAACATTATTAACAATTGACCCGAAACAGTACATCATTTACTAATATTTATTCCTTTTTAATCTTTTATTTTCAATTCCGTATGCCACCGTATATCGTACAACCAGAAATATTTATTTCTCCTCCTCCGCGGTACCCTCCTCTTCTGCGGTATCCTCTTTTTCCGCGGCACCCTCCTCTGCCGGCTCTTGCTTCTCTTCGGCCTCTTCCCGATTCTGAGTACCGCATCAACCTCTTCAGTATTTTTCGTATCTGCAACAGAAAAATGAAAATGTAAAATATTTTATATGTATATATTTTTTATATATATAGTATTAAAAAAAAAAAAAAAAACGTATATATTTTTTATATATATAGTATATAAAATAGGGGACAAGGTTTTAAAGACTGTCGAAGAATTAATTTCATTGATAAAATCCGCGTTTTCTCAAAGCTTTAATGTAAATAATATCCATAATGAATTAAAAGCAGTATATCGTCGCGAACACGAAACGATTGAGGAGTTCGGATTCCGGGCTAGTTATAATAATTTTTTTGCAAATACATAATTTATCGTAGGGAAATAAATCAGAAGAAATAAATGGGAAACACATTACTTACTTTTTTTCCAGACATTTGAGGACGTGGGGACGGCTCCCTTTTCTCCTCCTCTATTTTTGATTCTGTTTCCCGCTTTACTGTTTCCTCCTTTACTGTTTCCTCTACTGTTTCCTCCTCTTTGTTATGCTTTTGATGCTCTTCACTGTTGTCCATCTAGAAATAAATAATTTATATATTGTAAATTTGTAATTAACACTGGCAAGACACCGTACGCGTGACATTATACGCTAACTACTAACTTCTTCAACTGCTTTCCTCAAGCTCTTGAGGTTCTCCATACTCACTGGTCACTTTGCAACTGCTGGATCGTCGATCGATGCCGAGGTTCGAAGCTATGCACCCCACCATTGTTCCTCACTTCCACCAATGTCCCTCGTTTCACACACGTCACTCATTTCCACCATTACCACTCATTTCCACCACCGACTCTCAATATGGGTACGAATATTACATCACATTACGTTCTGCAACATCCGAATGCAACGTATCGGAATTTTTTGCATTACGTCTACGTATAAAGTAGTATTTAACATTTTTTTAAGTAGAGTGATTTAGTTTTTAAATTATTTAGTTATTTATTTTTTTTAGTATTAATTTTATTTAGTTTATTAGTATTTTTTTTAGTATTTTTATTATTTTTTTTTTTGAAAGTGAAGCGAGTGAAATTAATGGCACTAATTTTCATTCTGCGAACTCATCATTAACATGCGACAAAGGGATGACGTCGAGTTTATCGACTTACTGAATAACCTACGGTTTGGGGAAGTGACAACCTTTCAACTACAAATACTATGCGAACGAAGAAGAGTTCCCTTAACCGGAGAGTTTGAGGAATCACCCGTCAACATCCGACGGAAGGACCTCCATGTCACAAATTCACAAATACCACAAAATGAAGAAACTTCAGAAGATACGATATCAGCACAGACCTTAGATGGCGAAAACGGTATCTGGATCGTAGAAGAAATAACTTCACCCCGTCCACAAGAAACGCCATCTTTTTCACACGGATTAAACATCGTAAACATGCAGCACATGTTTGAAGAAATGAAGAAAATAAGCCATCATGCCGACAATAAAGAAGACTGCGGGATAAAATACTTGCAGATAACTGGCATGCAACAGTCGGGCTTGAAGACTAACCTCAAGGTAGTATGCACTATGTGCCACTATGAAGAGGAAATTCACAGTCAACCCGACGAAATTGAAGAAATGGACGTAAACCGTAGTGCCGTGGCTGGAACAATGTTTACTGGGGGTAGCTATACGCAAATGGAAGAATTGTTGGCAGCAATGAATATAAAATGCATGTCGAAAAGACAATTTGTAACACACCACGACGAAATAGCAAATTCGTTGATTGCCGTTGAGGAAGAAGAAATGATAGCAGCGGCTGCAGAAGAAAAACGATTAGCTGTGGAAAGAGGCGATGTTGTTCCAGAATCTGCAATCCCGCACATTCCCGTCATCGCCGATGGGAGTTGGATGAAGAGATCTTATCGCACGGGCGCATATAACTCTGCGTCGGGCGTTGGTGTAATAGTTGGATATTACACCCGAAAAGTTTTATTCATTGGAGTACGCAATAAGAGATGCAAAATTTGCGAATGTGCTGCAAGAGAACAGAAAGAGCCACGAAAACATGTATGCTTTAAAAATTGGAGCAAGAGCCGAGCATCCACCGCTATGGAAAGCGATGCCATTGTAGAAGGATTTCGAACCAGCGTCGAAAAGCGTGGATTAATTTATTCCACGCTAATCGCTGACGGAGATAGCAGCGTATACAAAAAGATTATAGATGCAGATCCGTATAACACAGAGATTCGTGTAAAAAAAATTGAATGCACGAATCACTTATTACGGAATTTCTGCAGAAAAATGAAGGAAATCGTTAAAAAAACAACAGCAGGTACATTGAGGAAAGCTGTGGAAAATAGCATTCGGCGAATGCGAACGGCAATTGTGAAAGCCGCACGATATAGAAGCAACGAAAGTGTATCGACCTCTACAAAAATTAGAAATTTATACTGTGACATTTATAATGTGCCAAGCCACGTATTTGGCGAACATGCAGAATGTAATAAAATAAATTACTTCTGCGATGGAAAAAGCAAAGAAAATGAAACAAACATCGTCCCGCAGTTGAAGAGTATGGGAGTATACCAGCTCATAAGGGAAATACTTCAGCCGCTAACATCTCATGCTGAAAGTTTATTATACAATTGTAACAATAATCCCGTAGAGAGCTTCAACAACGTCCTTGCCAAATACATCGGTGGGAAAAGATTAAATTTCGGTCAAAGAGGATCGTACACGGCAAGATGTGCTGCTGTCGTGTTACAGTACAACACCAAGGAACTATTGTCGCAAAGTATTATAAATGTTGCAGCGTCCTTGTGTCCGAATATTAAAGTAACGTTAAATTTTGACATTGTTTCATTTAACACGTACTATTTTCTGAATGCTGCAAGTTATGGGAATAAAATTTATACTATTATTAACTAGATACGATACTTCGATAATGTATCGCACCACGCATGATTTTTGTCTGTTGCTAACAAAATTACAGTGGGATAAAATAAAAATGTCGTAGTGTCCGAATATTAAAGTTACTCACTGTATATAGATAGCCGGTACAACAAGGGTATGCCTATTAGGGAACCCGAATATATTACAGAAGAAAGGAAGC